GATGAGGCACAGAGTGGAAAGCATGCGCAGACCAACTTCAAGCATGAGATAGTTATTGCACTTGCCATATCCTAAAGCTTAGGCGAGTGATTTTAGCTGCATATGTTGTATAGCAGAAGTATTGACATAAATGTAAAGAACGGTGTGGCATACGAGGACGGTTTGTTCTTCCATCACAATTAAGAAACTGATAAACTTTCTGCATCGTGTGACAGCGACTGAAACATGGGATTAACCCTATTCCACCTGGAATCGTTCCTGTGGCGTACATGCTCATATGATCTGAAAATGACATATAGAAAACTGTTCCTTGATGGGGTTTCGTAGTTCTTTTGTCAGTACAATTAGGACAAATATAGCAATAGACAGAAGTTGTCCAGATACATGCTCACATGAAAGCATCATGCGGGAAAAACCTAAGTTATTAAACATCATTTTTGTTCTATCAATAAACAGAATAAACAGAATGTAAGAGAAGTTAAGTAAGAATTTATTATTCCTCATCAACAAATATCCAAATTTAATCAATGGCTGGCTTTACATTTATTTCACTTAGATGTACCCAATATTTCAGAAATAAAAGTGATTAAACCAGAGTCTAAGGATTTTTTAAATAAAAAGTTAAATTATTAATAAATATTTAATACTATATATTATATAGATATGTGTTATATAAAAAAATTAATTTAAAATATATGTACCAACTCAAGCAAAATTAATTTAATAATAATTTAAAATAAAAAAACTTAAATTATAATTATTCTCTTCAAGATTTTATATTTTAAAACTACTTCATAATAACTTTATTTATAATTTTATTAACAATATATTTCTTAATACATATAAAAAACTTTTATTTATCTATTTCTAAATTATCTAGGATCAGAGAAGCTCTTGACAACAATTATATATTGAGATATGATATATAACATCTAAAATTATAATTTAAAAAAATTATCATGAACTTTCATCTAAAATTACATTATAATTATTTCTCTTCCACATACATATTAATTTAGCAAACCTATAAATTATTATAAATTCTAACATTTTCAATAACTAATTATAAAAAATAAAAATAAAATTAGATAATAAAACAAATAAAAAAATTAAGGAAACTTTTCTAAAACATAAAGTATAAAATGTTACTTCTTTAACTAATTAATAACTTAATATTTAAAAAGAAATTTTGCAAAAATGAGAGAGACATAGACAATATTTTGTTAAAAAAAGAGCTTAAATTAATTTATTAGCTAATGAATAAAATTAACCTTATAAAGCTATTGTATTAATATTTTAATATAAAAAATTATGTTGAAAAAAAAAAAGATTAAGGGGCAATTTCCCCCCTTTCCTCTATGTAACTCCGCCACTGT